CAGCTCCGACATCGATACAACACACTGAATCGGGGAAAAAATTCAAGTGGGTATAGCTGGGGCTGGAATCACCATGTGGTCTGACCACTGGTTATATGACTCTCTCACCATAACTTTACAATTAGCCCCCTTAGCTGTTTGGTCTGGAAGTGAAAGCCCTGAAGAAAATGCTAAATTGGTGTTAAGCAAGCCATTAAATGTTAGGTTAAAAGACAGGCATTTAAGGTTATGGTTAGGGTTACATCTCGTTACTCAAAAGGCGAGGCGTGTCCTAGTGTATAATCATGAAATAAATGAATAAAGTGGATTATTGCTAACTTTGGCCTCATATTTATTCACTATAATGTAGCATCATAGCAAGGTTCAAATAACTGTCGTGTTGGTGGGTTGGTCTTGCACTGGTGGTGGGTGCAGTTTGTAGGTGTCATGTAGGCTCCATACAGAATGTGGCTGCAGCTCTACATGTCTCAAAAAACAGGTGACGAGGGCCGTCGAGTGCCAACAGTGTGGGATACACAGCAGGGGCTCTTTACAACAGACGCTCACCAACAGCCTGACATCGACTAATGGCCGCGTGACGGCTTGCTGTGTTAGGGCCCTTATTATAGCTACATTAAGGGTGCTTTCACACCTGCCCTGTTTGGTTCGTTTCAATCGAACTCAAGTTCGTTTGCCCCCTACGTGCAGTTCATTTGTGCAGGTGTGAAAAAAAACAATCGCACCTGGGTACCACCACCAAAACAACCACACCGAGAGCTTCTTCAAGAGGTGGTCTGGCCCTGTTAAAAACAAACTCTGGTGCGGTTCGTTTGTGGTGAGAAGATGTTCCGACCTCGATCTGAACCAACTGCAGTCACATGACACATTGTTTGGGTTAAACATGAGCATGTTACAGTCCTGGAGGATTATTAATGTGCACCTCCTCCTGTACTGCCTTAATATGCACATTCAGCACATCCAATGCATCAAAACATTGTTTTCTAGTTGGAGCCGCGCCTCGTTTTCAAACTGTATGGTTTGACTAAAATTAACAATGACAGCAATATAGTCCACGATGAGCAGCGCTAAAATCAACCTGCGTAGTTGTCCCTCCATTGTGACATTAGAAAGTGTCACATTTATCTTGCAAGTGTACTCTTCTTCAACGTTTTGTTTACTTCCTGGTCTGAAAGCATCTTTAAATAAGCACAAGCTTTGAATGAAAGCACAACCAGTTTTTAACTCACCGCTGTGCAAAAGTTGTTTTTCCATGATGATGTGACGATGGCATTACAGCATATCAAAGGCATATGCTTGATAACAGGAGCAAAGACAGTGATGGCAACATTTCAAATTCACAATAGATTTTTGTTTTTTGATTTTCCACTGGAAACAAAATCGAATTAAAAAAACGACACTTTGGAGTACATCATAAAACAGTTTTCCCTCAGGACAAAAGCAAAATAAAAGGAAAAACAATATGATCTACACATCATTGACAAGCAGCTCCTGATGTGTCCTGACATGCTACATGTTTACCCGTGCAGAAGTCACACAATGTTTATCATCAATGTTGTTGTTTTTGTCGACGATGATGATAAATCAAGGAATTCCATTGCCTACACAGTCATGACCCATGAGCTTTGCACAAGCTAACTGAGCTAGAATTTAAATGTTTGTGCAAAGCCCAAAGATTACAAAGATATGTTTAAAATGTATGCGGCAATTATTCAAAAGACATTTACAATTTTCCATTTGGTGTGATTAAATAACACTGGGTGTTTAAATTTAATTCAGTTAATTTTATAAATCTGGTTAAAGGGATTTTAATCTGTGTTCAGAAGATTTTAATTGCTGATATGTTTTGAGAAATCATGTACAACTCAAACAATGTGCATATTTTCCTATTTGTTTCTCTTTTTGTTCATAAAATGTAACTTTCCCTAAGTTTCTCTTTTCTGTTAGTCTACTCTGAACACGTCTGTTGGAACCACTACCCAGGTCTGCCTCTATTATTCCAGAAGAAGCATTCTATCAAATATCAAATGCGTCTCTCAGCGAGGAAATGACTTTGTTAACTTACATGACAAACAATGTGCAGCTTCACGTCGCCTATCAGAGGAAACTCATCTCTTGTCATTAGGAAACCGACTCAATTGTGCTCCTTTGATAAAACAAACAATAAAAATTCAAATGATGTTGTTGCCATCCCTGCTGTGAAATCGAGGTGAAGAATTCTAAAAACCCAGTTCTACAAGAAACTAATTTCAGTGCAACCTCAGGAACAGCTGCTTACACAGTTTGGAAGAGTGAACGTGAAGCAGGGGACAGATTCAGTTAATACCTCAACAGAGAGTATCAAAGATTTTATTTTTCATAGATTTTCACTGTGAAAAATTAAGTGTATATGTGCAAAAGCAGTGCACATGTAGACCTGAATTCAAATAGAACCAAACCGGTCTGGAGGTTAACACATCCGACATCACCTGCTGATTCTCAGGGCGTTTTCACATTTTTGTGCTCAGTGAATTTCCAGGTAGAATCTCACAGGGTCAGACAACACGCCTGAGTCATTATTGTGACATTGCACATTTGTGAAATATATTTATTTCCTGCAGTCAGGTTGCTGTGACTGTGCTTGTCTGTGCCTGAACCCGGTGTGGTAGCAGCCGACTTTAACACCTGCATAGAGGCGATATTGTTTCCTCCATGCAGCTGTATGGTGATCAGAACAATGTGCAGTTACAGAACACCAAAACATTACATCCATGGTTTGTCTTTTTTTATCTGGTGTTTTAACTGTTGTTACAAAAATGTTTTGTCAGACTAAAGCTGCACCACAGTATGTTAATGTTTCTCCCACTTTTTGTCCAACTTAATATTCAGACTATCTTCCGAAATAAAGACCAAGAGGAAATGAAGTGCATTGTAAAGGTTCTCTGTGGCTTTCATTTGAATTAAAGCAGTAAGTAATTTATTCAGCGCATCATCACATCATGGTTTTGTAGTTGTGGTAGACTGATAAATCAAGTCCTTGAGGAACTTTAGGATCTTGAGCACGTCAGTAACCTGGGCCAAGGATGGGTGGTCGTTGTTGGTCTACAGGTTGGGGGGGATAAAGAAGGTGTACAAGAACTTATCTTTTATGTCCATATTTATTTGTTTCAATCTCTATTTATCCCATCTAAGGTTGGTTAAAAATGGCAGTTAAAAATTGATGGAGTACAAGTGATTCAGGCCTGACTCATTGCAACCAAACTAAATACTGAGCTCCTCATTTGGGAACTTCTCCATCATGTGGGTAGCTTCGGCATTTAAAATTGAGCAAAACATTTTAAAACATAGTAAGACTTCCAGAGTTTGTCCTTGACATAAACTTTTGTAGAGTACAGACTGACCTACCAAAGAGCCAGAGACGAATATCATGGGGTCTGCCCATTATTCCAACAGCCCATTGGTCCAACAGCCCATTGTTCCGACCATATTAAACCCATTTTTCAGAAGTCCCGTTGTTCCAAAATCATCATGATGCCCTGTGGTTAAGGTCTGGTTAGGTTTAGGCACAAAAACCACTTGGTTAGGGTCAGGAAAAGATCATGGTGTGGGTTAAAATGAAAAAAAAAGTGGCAAACACATAAGCCGTGAGCCTGTTTCTCCTCAAGCCTTTCCCAGCTGACCCAGAGCCGGTCGCGGCGCACCATCAAGGCAGAAATACGCCCGCCGGGAGCCGTACAGCACCGCGGAGAGCTCCCCACACAACCCAGACCCCAGAGTTAATAACAGGAGGTTATGGTGTTTCATTCTCTCCTCTCTATGACACTTGTATCTCGACCAGTAGCCTTTTGTTGCGTTTGCTGATCCTGTGTGGTACGTGGGCTCCCTCTAGTGGTACGCAAAAGAATTATTTGATTAAATATAATAGGGTGACCATATTTTGATTTCCAAAAAAGAGGACACTCGGCCGGCCACGACATAGCCTACTTAAATGATACTCGCAGTTTAATCAAAGATGCCTTATCATTTTAATATATTTAAAATTTATATGTATGGATAGAAAATTCAGTTATATTACAAAATAATATCTCTCAAAGACAGAAATTCAGATAGGCCCCTATAGGGGACGGGACATGAAAAGTGGACATGTCCGGGCAAAAGAGGACGTTTGGTCAGCCTAAAATATAAATAAAATAAAATAGATTTAAAACGTGAAATACTATCCAACATATTAGAACAGATGAAAATATCTTATCAACCGATGACAAGAAAACGAAAGGAGATACAAATTAAGTTAATACTTTGCAAAAAAGATTGCAAGTGCTTCTAGGTAGCCGTACGTAGCGTTCCTGCTGATATCGACGGTTATCCGCCGTTGGTAGCCTACAGGCTGTGATGGGAAGAGGTGGAGGTGGTTAATAATGAAGAGTACGACGAAACTACTGTCCTGGCTTAAATCTGCGAAGGGAAGTGTGGATCAGGAGAGAGCGAGAACTGAAGAGGGCGTGCGTGAACCGAGTGCAGGCGCAGGTGCTAACAGTGGCTACTTTAGAGCCGGTGAAGCCAGCCCCAGAACATCTGCTAGCAATAGATATGACGAAAACTACATTAAACATGGATTCATTTGGAGCGGGAGAGAGGAAGAGCCCAGGCCGCAGTGTGTGGTATGTGGCGACGTTTTGAGCAATGAATCCATGAAACCATCGCATCTCAAACGGCATCTTACAACCAAACACACGGCACTTACGCACAAACCAGTGGAATTTTTTTTTTTACGAAAACGTGATGAACTGAAGCAGTCAAAGTCCGCCATTCAGTCCTATGGTACACCCATAGCCAAAGCACAGGTAGCATCATATCGTGCCAGCCTCCGGATCGCCAGAGCCGGTAAGCTGCACACAATCGGGGAACAGCTGTGTTTACCTTTAGCCAAAGAGATGACACGGATCATGTGTGGAGAGAAAGCTGCCAGAGAGTTGAACTTGGTGCTGCTTTCAAATGACACCGTGTCAAGGAGAATAAAAGACATGGCTGACGATGTTAAAAAGACACTGATTGAGCGCATTAAGAACAGTCGATATTTTGCCATACAGCTTGACGAGACTACAGATGTTGCAAATTTGGCCAATTTATTGGTTTATGTGAGATATGAATATGATGGTGCAGCTCAGGAGGATTTTATGTTCTGTCAGTCACTTGAGACGAGAACTACAGCAGAGCACATATTCCAGGTACTGAACGTGTTATCCAAGAGAAAGGACTGGACTGGAAAAAGTGTGTGGGGGTGTGACGGCGTGAGGGCTATGACAGACGGTGCGAGGGCTATGACAGGTCGTAACAGCGGGGTAGCAGCTCGCATCCGAGAGGTGGCACCTGAAATGCGCTGGACTCACTGCAGCATCCATCGTGAGGCACTGGCAGTGAAGAAGATGCCTGATGACCTGAAGTCTGTGCTGGACTCTGCTGTAAAAACTGTGAACTTCATCAAGGCCAGACCGATGAATGCTCACTTTTTTCATGTGCTCTGCGAGGAGATGGGCAGTGAGCATGTCCAACTCTTGCTTCATGCTGAAGTAAGGTGGCTTTCAAGAGGAAAGGTGCTTTCAAGGCTTTTCGAATTGCACAAGGAGGTCCAGATGTTCTTGCAGGACACAAATTTCCCCTTGTCAGACATTTTTGAGGATGCTGTGTGGCTCAGTCAGTTGGCATATTTGTCTGACATTTTTTCACGTTTAAACGAACTGAATTTGGGACTACAGGGACTCTCCATCAGTGTTTTTGATGTGCAAGACAAAATCAATGCACTGCTGAAAAAGTTGGCGTTATTTGAAATCAAAGTCAAGACAGGTGATGTTTCAGCTTTCCCTGCTTTGGAGAGTTTTCTGTCTGACAGTGACCTGATGCTTGATGATGGAGTCAGGGAGAACATCGCTGCACACCTCGCATCACTCAGACAACAGTTCTGCAATTATTTCCCAGTGATGCCTAAAGATGAAGCTAGCAGCTGGATGAGAAACCCTTTCAACATCGACACCTCTCACGTGGCCTCAGTGGACTTAACTGTTGTTGAGCAGGAGAGTTTAATAGAGCTGTCTTGTGACGAAACACTGAAGGCTTTCAGAAAGCACACTTTGTTGGAGTTTTGGATAAAGCTGTACAGTGAATACCCTGTGCTTTCTGACAAGGCCGTACGCTTTCCTCTTCCTTTTGCGACCACCTACCTGTGTGAGAAAGGCTTCTCTTCACTTGTTGTCATAAAAACAAAGTACAGAAGCAGGGTGGATGCTGAGCCAAACCTGAGACTGAAGCTGACCTCCACTGACCCAGACATTGCGGGACTGTGTTCACAGAGGCATGCACACCCATCACATTAAGCTCATGTAAGTTGTCATCAATGTGTATGCTTAATTACAGCTGTTATTCTTAATGCTTTTCCTCACTTTTGTTTTATTCTTAATCTTATTGTTCTTTCTCTGTGTTTGTGTGTGTTTCTGTTTCAGAAAGCAGTCACTGAAGTTGAGAAACTGCAAGAACTGCAGCTATGCATAGCCTGTTTTGATTTTTTTT